TGAGCTATTATAATAAAATATAAACCCTGATTATGAAACTGTTTGAGTTTTCCTCTTCCACTGTCCATTATCCAAAGAAACAGATCCTCACTTAAAAACACAATGTAAAAACACAATTTTTTTTTTTTTTTTTTTAGTCCAAGAACCTTTTTTAATAGTCAAACAAGCCAAAGAGCCTTCTGAAAGGTCTAATGAGTATAAAAAACTCCACCTGGGAGTCTAGGTGGGCAAGGAAGCCTGGACCCAGGCAGTTTCAGGAAGAACACAAACCCATCAATGACTGGAAATGAATCTCAGATGTAAGCACAGGAAGGAACTGAGGGTAGGTTCAGAGAACAACTGTAGCTGTAGTCAAGGCAGCCTACAGGCTACTGCCAAAGGACCAACCCACCTTTCTCATATCCTTCTGTCCACAGTGATCCTCATTAGAAAGTTAATATTCATTGCATGGTGGAAGGAGCAGCTAGTCATAGACTTGAAAAATTGCTTCAAAGGGCCTGATTCCCAATGAGGGAAAAAATCTCTATACAGAAAGATCTTCGCTAAGTCTGCCATAGGAGGGAGTTGTTGCAGCAGCATTTCTTCTGCACACTTTCTGACAGCCTCTTTAGCTTGATCAATATGGGAACACAGAGGCACAATGTAAGTCTTGGTCTTGCACCACTAAAGTGCAAAAGAGGACAGAGGCACCAATGCTCCCACAACCTGTGCTTGGACAGGTCAGAATGACTGTGTGGTCCAACCACTCCCTTAACGATGCATACCTATGTGTACCTTTTAAGGTGACTTCTTGCCAGTACATTCTCTTGCCAAAAGTAAGGGCTGTATGAATTAATTAATTTAGTCACAAATTGAACTATATTCTAATGCAATCTACTAAATGAAAACAGCTACTAAAATATTTTTCTATTTTGATTTTGTGGATATAGTGCTTTTACAGTTGTTCTCAAAGTTAGCTAAACCATATTTACCATAAAACACTGCTTTAAAGTAGTACATGAAGTGAAATGAAATACTGCTACCATCTGTGAATAATGTAATCAGGCAAATGAGGAATAATGACTACATCATGGTAATTTAGGATGGAACACAGTGAATTACAATTGTCAGCAGTTTGGTTTATAGCTCACAAACTTGAGAAAAGCATAGCATATAAGAAGAGTGGGGAAGGATTTAATCAAAATATCATTACAGAAGAGAATGGAAACCACACATGGCATTACTTTTCAAGGGTCCACCACCATTATTTTTATCTTGGAGTGTAACTGAAAACTTACCATCACAAACACACACACAAAGATAACTTCAGTGATATCGGGCTGCTCATACACATCACAAACCCACAAGGTTTAGCTCATAACAGACAAATAATTCCTTCCAACTCTTTGGGGTTGTGGTAGGTAGGCAAGGAAATAATCTATGGAAAATCCCCCAGATTCTTTCCATTTTCTAAGTTTCCTAATTGTTCATAGGCCAGAGGTGCAAGTCAGTATTTTCCCTGCCTACTACAGTGACTTCTATTAGGGATGGTCTGAAGCAGAAAGCAAGCCGGTAGGATGCTGTTCTTCCCTACTCTGACATTCTGTTGAGGGGTTCAGGGTGGAGTTATCTTTACCAGATTTGTGCAAATTAAATATTCTTTGAGATGGAGAAAAATTTCCATACTCTTTAAATCTCCTCCTTGCATTAGACAAGGAAATTCAAGTCCCTGTTATTGAAAAGAGGCTTTTTTCCTCTCCTTTAATTTCTTGTTCCATCTCCATTCTACATATTTTCCCCTCAAGCATTTCCATAATCCTTTCACTGCTGTACATGAATACCTCTTGGCCACTGATATATTTCTCTTTGCATCATCACAGTTGAGCAGAAAAGAAACAGGAACTGGAATAAAAAGAGAGTTATTTTCTCTGGTTACACATGAAAGTTTGGTGGATCAATCCCAACTACCAAAGTGTTGTTTAGCAATCCCTCCTCTCAAAGTTTCCTCAGTAAACACAGATATTTAAGAACAACTTGTCATTTGGAAAAATTTACTTGTCTGTATAAAATGTTTTATGACCCACTTCTCCACAGGGCAGAAACTTAACAAATATGTCTGAATTCCAGTTGTTATTATGTTCTTCACTGATGAAGACAACTGTCCGTCTGTCTTTTTCTCCTGTCATAAAATATTCCTTCCACTTAGAATATTCTTGTTCCTCCAAATTACTTGACTGACACAAAAGCAAGAACCACCTGGTAATGCGCAGAGAAATTATAGTACCTGCCCTCAGAGAGGGTAGCTGCTGGCACTGGTAATAAATAAATAAACAAACAGATAAATGTATACATATGTAAGTAAATAAAAGCTGTTCACTGGATTTTTGTCACCAGAAATCCAGATACTTTCCATATGTTCCTGCCTTCCCTCATATGGGAAAAATCATAATGTACTCGTTCCATTCTGCCATTATAGCACACTGGATACTGTACGAAAATCTTTAAGTAATGATTAGTTTAGGGTTTGTTGGTTTGGTTTGGGGTTTTCTTTTCTTTTAATCCTGACTCTTTCATAAATAATTTTGTTTCATAAGTAGAACTTTTTTTAGAGTGAATATAAGCAGAGGCTGAGAAGGAAGAAAGTATTGCAGTTGATGAAACTATACCTTTATATGAAGCACTTTCTTTATTATCATGCCATTCATTGTATAAAGATGACTTTTCAACATGAAACACTATAAATTATGCTGCACAAAAATTTATAAATTTATAAATACTAAGATTCTCAAAATTTAACAATCATTCAAGATGACATCTAGGAAAATTCCCTGGAAGCCAATAAAAAGCCTGTACAAAGTGCACCGCCCTGTACTGCTGCCCACTCCTTCTTGCTCCCTAGCAATGCTGCTAAAACCTGGCTCTCACTTCTCTTAGCTTTTGGCCTCTCTGGAGAATTATGAAGGTGAAAAAAGATCTAAAAGAGGTATTTCACATAGCTTTCTGACTTGAAAATATCTGTCATCACCCTGTCTTTAATTTAGACTTATTAAAAATCCATGATAGCCTTGTGCTTTACAATATTCATGATCATGTATGTCTTGGAGATGTACTGAAAACACCATGACAGCAGATTTCACCAGAATTCATCCCATTCCCAGAACTGATTAGGCAGTGTTAAATAAGAAAGCTTCTTTTGGAGCACCATGGCAGTAAGTAACAATAAATATGACTAACATAAAATTTAACAGACCAAACATGCATCTAAGATTAGCAAAGCAAATACTCAGTGAAACAGACAGCAGAAGGCCAGGAAAAGTGAAAAGAGAAAAAACATAATAGACACTTGCATAAGGAAAAAATAACAATCATGTAACCAAAGCATACAATTACCTAGATCACCACAATGTTTGTAAAGGGAATCATGACCTGCATGTTTAACAGTGAGACCTGCTATGCCAGAATCAGCTGTAAGTGCTGAGTCTGCCAGCGGCACTTTAAACACAAATCTGGATTTAAGGAAATGTAAAATTATTGAGCAATTGGACTTAATTTTTATTTAACTACATCACTTTTCCCTTCACCCTAGTAAATGGGTATCATAATGAACGTAGGTGTCACACTACAGGCAAAACAATTCACTAGTAAACCACGCGAAGTTGGAATTACAATTTTTAAGTGCCCCACTTCAAACATGAACTTCAACCACCGCTGACCATGACAGATTTAGCTGAGAACAAAATGATCTTTCAGAAGGTCAAGCAAACACAAATTGCTCAAAATTGCTCAAAAATTACAGAGCTTTAAAGATGTTTAAGTAACAAGGGCATGTCAACCAGAACTTCAAACATTACTGAGATAATCTTCTGCTTGACTCTGATTATTTCCTTCAGTATCAAGAACAGTGGCTCATTTTAAAGAAAGGGCAAGTTAGAGAATGCATTATGTTAGAGATTTTCAGAGCACAGAGCAATTTCTAATGCTCTGAACATTCTTTTAGGGAGGTTACTCTATTAGAAAGGTTCACCAACATTATCTGCAGTGTTTTTCAGCAGAGTAGCAAACATACAACAGGACAGTCACACCAGCAACTTCCATAGGAAGATTATGAACAAGGGAGTGGCAGTGGGGATGATGGGGAAAAGTCTAAGTAGCACATGAAAGAATATGGGTTTCAGGCACAGAAATTAATACCACTTCTTGGCCAAGTTTCTTTTGCACAGCAACCAAGGCAGAAAGAACAGAAGTTATGTATACCTAGGTAAGATCTCACATGCAGATGGGGCACAAGGCAAGACTGAGGAGCTGGAAAGTATTTCCAGGTTCCACAGCTCAGCCTCATCTTTGGGAGGCAGATGGAGAAAACACATTCCTCTAAGGATTCTGGTAACTGAGCTATTTCAGATATACACATTGAATGCAGAGCTAGAACTCAGAATACTTTAACAAACAAGGAAACTATGAACAAATGTGTTATTTGACATGCAAGGAGAACTATTTTATGCATCACAGTCTAATAATAAGTTTAACTACTTTCTGTATATGAGAAGAGAAGCAGTGAAAGATCTGACTTGGTACCAATACCATGACATTTAAAATTAAAACACTGAAAAGTTAGTCCTGTCATGGATTTGGTGGGGGTAGAGGCAGGGGTTTCCAAGTATGATAGCTTCTTTAAGGCTGCTCACATCTCATGTATGAAATCACAGACACAGAGATCATGTAGGCACAGAACTAGGCACAGAAAATTATTAGGCAAATATTTAACAATCTAAATCTTGAAAAAGAAGTTTGAAAAACTAGTTATATCCAGATGAATTTTGCTGCTCATACAAGTCAAGAAACTGCAATATTGAGGGTAAATACCTAAGGCAGTTATAAACTCCTAAAATACTACTCTCAAAATAAAAATTATCTGGAACCTAACAACTCTATTGTCTTTTCACCAGCTACTGACCTTTATTTCTTTCAAGATGAAGTTCACAGTGGAATTCATCAATAAGCAGCACAGATATATCACTTACCTTTCAGTCACAGCTTCCATGAATTCATCAAGAAGATCATCATAGGCTTGACCTCTAATTCTCTTGTGTCTCAGCCCAATATACAAAGGATCTTTCAGCAATGTCTGTTGAAAAAAAAAATGTTTGAAATATTACATGAGCAAGTTACAATACTATGCTCTTAGTTAATAAGAAAGGGACAAAAATAGAGTGTTTGAGGATTAACCCAAGCATATGAAGAACATATCAATTTATCCACCCATACATTAAGAGACATAAACATAAAGACATTAAAGAAACACCCTTTTGTATCAAGGAAAAGGGATACCCTAATCTCAAAGGAAGTGTATAGTTTCCAAGTAAAAAAGGAAAGTTTACTCTGAAATGTCAGGTTTCAAAAGTATCTTTTAAAGTTTTACTAATTTTCTATTTTTCTTTTATATCCTGAAAGTGCTCTGACATTTAAAAAAAGCCATTTTCCTTCATTTTAGCATAATGTTTCACAAATCTCTCCCAGAGCGCATCATTTCAACTGTGTTGATGAGCTGATATTCAGAAAATGTGCAGTTTCCTAAAATTTAATATGCCAAAACATAACCAACCCATTCCCTTTTCCTTCCAAGCTTATTAGATTATCAGTTTATATTCTAGAATTTTAAATTTCAGCTATCCATGTTCCATCAGTTGGATATGATTTCTGAATTTGTCTATGCTTAAATCTTGAACTTCTTCTTTCTTTAGCTTTATGATCCGTACTTCCCATAAAAACACCAAGGCTATATCACTCCATGTCTTCACTACTAGAAGGTTTGATGTATTTCCAAATTATAGCTTACTAATTACTAAATTTATACTTCCCCACAGCAAGTGTCACACTTCCACTGGCTTTCCCAGGAACTCAGGTATAAAGACACACTCTTTGTTATTATTTCTCACACGCCTCTGAAAACAAATAAGCTAATTTCCCCATTGTCTATAGTGTGCAATCCTCCCACACATGCCCAAACAGCTTACAGAATAGGTCAGAAGCTTGACCAAACATTTTTCATCCAAAAACAATTTGTAAACTCAACAGGGTGGCAGAAATTTTTTGTACATCAGCTTCAACTAGAAAAACATTGTAAAGAAAAATACAGACCAACTTGTCTTCCAAGTGAGAGTCTTCAGAATGCAAAATTAAGCAAAAAGTCTGGAAAGCTTTCTCTTCCTGACCCAGACTGGGAAACAGAAATCTGATTTCTGAATTTTAGAGTAGTGCCGAAATTCCCATCCCAGCTTTGTTTTAAATCGTAAAACTGAAAAAAAAAATTCCTCTGGGTCACAAGCCCCTGTTAAAGAATGATTTGAATCAGTATGAAAGTTAAAATCTTTGGTGGCATTCTGCCTCCCCAGGAGGCTTCTGATACAGACCTATAGATAGAGATGGTTGTCTCTCCCTCACATTTCTCTCCACTTCCACAAAGATGTCAAGAAATAAGATTAGAATGTTTTAAAAAATCAAGGTGAATTTTCTTGCTAAATTCAGAGCAATTTGTAATACATTACTTACAGCCATTCAGAAGTTGTTGGTTCAGCTTTTTGAAGTGAAACATGAATAAAGCACAAAATTAAAATTACTTTTGTAAGTGAAGGTGACATCATTACACTGTAAATATTTTATTTATTCCCTTCACCAACACACTGCACCATTCATGTCTAAGTAGCACATTTTTTTCAGAAATAATTTTGCCTTTGTATTCACATTATGCTACATATTCTAGCAGCAAAATCAAAAGAATAATTCTGTACCTACTCTAGATACTTCAGGAAAAACTGGCAAGAGTTTGATCTAGTATTTGTCAATGTAATTTTCTCTTTTGTATAGTCTTCTTGTTTTGATATAATCACTTAAAACTTTATAGTCAAGAACTATTTCTGAAATTATTTTTTCATTTCCATTTTAAGTTTTTCTAGTTATTAAAAATTACCTCAAGAAAACCTGAAAAATCAAGGATAAATTTATGTATCTGGAGGATGAATTTGCACAAAGTGCAAATTAACTTTTTAACAACTGGAAATATTCAGGCAATTTTGGAGAGCCCATATGAGTTGTCTAACACTTCTCACCAGATTGAACACACAAGGCTGGAAAGAAGAACAGCCAAGCTTGGGAGCCTCTGTCAGGAACATCATGGTAGGACTCAGAAGCAGCAATCTCACTTCTAAAATCCCACTGCTGCAGTTTTCCATGCCAGTAGGCTTCTGCTATTCCATGTCCTGTACATGGATACCGCATGTTCCACTGTCCAATTCAGAATAAATAACTTAATCCCTTTCCAACTCTCCTAATTTTTCTTCCTAAACTGATTTGCTCTTTTCAAAGAGCTTCCACAAGCTTTTTATTAAGCAATGCCTGTTTTCTCATTTCATAAAACAATGCTCAAAATGAAAAACAAATCTTTGGTCCCTTTACTTTTTAAATTCTGAAGACATGTTTCTAAAACACTTTGCAGCCAGATTGAATCAGTCTGATTCCTTCAAGAAGGCAGTTTAGATGGGCAGTGATTCTGTGAAAGTTCAAGAGAAACAGGCATCACATTACTCTGTTCAAAAAGTACTAAATCAGCCTTTAAACATACATAGGCTCCGACACTCCTTTTGCTACTTCTGCATTTTTCATGTCTGTGAGCATTTAAATCTACAGTCAACACAAAAACTCAGAACTCCAAAGCAGTTCCATTTACAGGACCATTGCTTGAGTTTATTCACCTATCTTTGATGCAGAAATTTAATGTGAAATATTTAAAATTGTTACAGTGTTTCTGGAGTGTTTATAAACCTCTAGCCTGGGAAGTCTCACAAGCAGAGACAATTAATTCAGCGACACATCTCTGATGAAAAGCTTGGCCAGCGATATACTCAGAGTTCAGAATTCCTTTACAGCTCAGTGCATTCTGCTTAACAAACGTTACAGTTTGACATGAAATAGCCCCAAAAAGTTCCTTTATGGTCCTGTTTGGAACAACGTATGAAGAAAGCCGTGGCGGACACAAAAGAATGAAACATTCAGCAAGTGAAAAGAACAGTGGTCACGTCTGCACCCTGAGTGGCAAGCCATTGTGGAGCCGCTCCCTTTCCAAAGGCCACTGAAGAATGAATAAGCTGCTTAAGCACATTATCCCCTTATTCAGGTCAACACCATGCAAACCAGGACCGTGGTGCTTGTTTTTTTTAGAGGGTTCACACATCTTGAGAGATTAACATTTGCTACCAACTATTTCATGGCTTTCAAAACCGATTACCAAAAAAAAAAGGTTTGTGGTACAATCGAGTATGTCAAACTGACACGATGATTAGGTACTTTTCCTCAATGACTTGGGTTTCTTTTGTTACCTAGCTTGTTGTCAAAGCTTAACCTTTGTTTTGTGTTTTTGGAAATCAAATCTCTCTCAAAACATAACTCTCCTTTTCCCAGGTTAGTTAGTTATGCATATCACATGATACCGAAAAAGTTGATGCCAGCTTACTTTTAGACATGTTTATTCTAAGACTAAAAAAAGTTCTGAAACGTTTAGGTTTACTAATGTGGTACATTCAAACTTTAACAGAAATAGTGTTTTCTAAGAATAAAGGGCTTTTTTAAAGTTCTGGTTGTGGTGGTGGAAATATCAGGTAGATCTATTTAGAATTAGCTGTGCAAAATAACAAGTTCTTTGAAACACCACCTGAGCACATTAAAACCGTAATGACCTTTGGGGGTTTTAAGAAAAAGGTAAATCGTTTATGCCATCTTACTTAAAGAGATCAGCAAACCATCACAGCTCAAGCAAGGCTGAGCTGTGCACCTGGCTCTAATTTAGCTCCAAAAGCCAAAGCAGTGAGAAACAGAAAACTGCACACTTAAATATTTCATCAGTTGAGCACAAACACACTGAAATGTCATTTATTCCCAAACTTGGCACTGAGATGTTTCTTTGGAACAAATACATACTTCAGTGAACAGCTTCATGGAAAATTGTAGGGGAACATCTGCAAGACCCCAAGCCTTTCTACTGACAAAGATGGAGCAGAGATAGTTCAGAACCAATCAGTGCTACGTAGACAGTGTTTGGTGTATGGTAATGCTTCAGAGTAGCAACTAACCCTTTGCCATTAAAATGCCAAAACCCTCCAGCAGCTCTACAATGGGAAATGATTTGCACTGGAGTCACAATTACAGAGCTAAAAGAGAACTGTATTTGTATGGGACATCTGAAGCTTTGAGACAAAGACATGCCACATGCCAGAAATTAAACACATTTCAGAGGATGATTCATCTAACAGGGCACACAGTTACCAAAAACACCAGGGGAGGCCGCTGCTTTATCAAGTCTTAAATTTTTCTTACATTAATACACTCTTAATTCTTTTTGTAACTTTCTTGTCTCAGTTTTAACAGGTTGGGGAAGGGCTGGTGAGCAAAGGAGGGTTTCTGCTCTCCAGGAAAGTTGCATATTCCAAACTTCTATTTTTGTTCCACAAGACTGAAATTTCACTTGATGTGAAACTTTTTCCAATAAAAACACTCAGCCAGTTAGGAACATGCCAATGTTTTGGACTTAACTTCAGCTTCCATCAATACTCATCACCCAGTAATCAATCTGCATTCATTTAAACTTTCAGCTTGGAAGCACTAACACGCTGAAGCACGATTTTCTGTCCTTCAAGAACTGCTTACAGCTGCAAAGTGTTTTTCATGACACTAAAAGTGTGTAAGATTTCAACTTATAGTAGACTAGAAGGTCTTTCTTTTCTTTGAATAAGCTTGTTTTGAAGCCAGAAATACAGGATGATGCTCTTAAAGTGTGTAACAAATTTTGTGTTTCCAAATTCTAAGTGAACTTTGGATGAGTTGAATGTTACTAATTGGGTTTTGTGGGTGTAGAATACTTTGCAAAAATAAGTTGCATAATCAAAGAACTAAAGATTTTTTCTGAGATTTTGTTTTCTTTGAATTACACTAGCCATATAACATACTCACTAAGAAATCACAGCCCCTCCTACCTAAACACCAGACCTTTATCAACATATTTGCAAATGTTAGCAAGGGGCCTCTTGCACAAGAATAAAAGGAGCCTTACTCTCTGTTTCTCTCTAAAGGAAGGAG